TTTGTTTTTATTTTGTCCTGTTGGTTTTTCAAATCACCGTACAAACAAAATTTTTCATATTGCATTTAGCTGTTATGACTCATGTATCTTTTATTCTGTATTCTGTTGCTTTTAAAGACTTGTCCCTGAAAAATCAAGAAATCAGAACTGAGACAGAAAATTGTCTCCATTTGTGGAAAGCAAGGGTAAAATGCATCTAGAGTAAATTTGTATAGCTTTTGAGCTATTGGGAGAAATTTGGAATCATTCTATATTTCTTGAGTAGATGCTGGAGAAGCTTACAGAATTACCATCTCTAGATGAGTTAATACGAGGGTACTTTAAAAAGTTCATGGAAAGATTCAATTTTTCTTTTTATTCTTTTTTCCCACAGAGTTATGGAAGTACTCTTGTCTATGTGGGCCATTGTTAGAAATGATCAAGTAAATTGTATCCCTTGGCTTTTGGAGTAGGAAGATATCTTTTCCTTGACTTGCAGATTTTCAGTCTGTTCGTCTGCTGACTTTATACTAAGTAGGCAAAAAATGTGAAGGTCTAGTGAATTATATCTTTCCTGTCATTTAATAACATAATTATGTTTCTGCAAGGCTACATTTATTTGCTGATGTGACAGGTTTTTCTTCCATCAGAAGCACTGGGATAGGAATGAACTGTTTCTCCATTTCTGTTTGATATCTCCTATTTTCTCCAGCTGTCGCAATCTTCCTACAGTTGTTGTCTCTGTTTTACATTTTCCCAAGGAGAGGCTTTTGGCTTTTTTTCCTGAGGACCCCAAACAAGCAGCAAAGTAATTGATATTATCGCCTCTTTGTACTGAATGGACCTAATACAGTAAACCAGATGATTTTTGTAATTTGGAAATGCATTCCCAAACATTTACTCACTCTCCAAAACATACTACCAGTTTGCTTCTTACCAGGGACTGTTCAGGAAATCAAATAAGTAACAGTCTTCCTTACTGTCATTTGTTACAGATAGCTTATTACATAGGGTTTGTATTTGAAAGGGTTTGCTAGAGGTTGAGCTGTAAATTTTTGTACTATTTTCAGGATGGGAGCATTAAAGTCCTTGCCTTGTAACTGACTCATTCTCAAAGTAGTAACCACATATTTTCCACACATTTCCATTCAGCGGATCCGGGCTACAGTAAATAGCCAGGAGCAGAAACGGCTATTGATGGATTTGGATATTTCCATGAGGACGGTGGACTGTCCATTTACCGTCACCTTTTATGGTGCGCTCTTCCGGGAGGTAGGTGATCCTTCCAATCAAAGTCCAAGGAGAACACTAACTTAAAAAAGAAGTTTTCTGATCACCTAAATGTCGAGCACAATCATGGTACGCTTTCTTGTTTGACGCGTCTTGTGTAGAAGGTTTTACGTGTGTGCAGTCATGGCATGACCTGGTACAAGGTTGGCTTGAAATTATGGTATTTTAAAACATGTTTAGCCCTTTTAAAGATGCTCCCCTCTACCTTCTGTTTTAGTTTGTCTATTTTGGCAGAATTGTTTATATCAATCGTCTATAGACTGGTTTGCATCGATTTCTTAAAATGTGAGATATTCTGGTCTTCTGGCCACTTTATAAGTTCATGTAGCCTGCCTGTGTACCACCTAGGCTCACTTTAATCTCTGTGCTCTATCTCTGTTTTCCACTTTGGATTATTAGGCTTCACTTTACTCTTAAATCCAGCCTTTTGACTGACTAGTGCTGGTGCTCCGCGTGGGAGACCAGACATGGAACAGAACCTAACACATAGACATCAGTAACAGTAAAGACTTGGATTTTGGGATTCTACTGATTGTGGCTGTTAGAAGTTAGATTCTAGTTTTTGTTAAGAAGTGGGAGATTACCTGTAGGTTCTGCTTGGCTGTTGCTGGTTTGCTCTTTTAAAGATTATCTTCCATGTTTACAAATTCCTTTGAGATCTTGAAGGGAAACTGTGCATTTCCTTCAACAACTCAAGCATGAAATAATTTGAAGGGCTGGTGTTAACTGTTTCTTCTTTTTCCCTTTTCTCTCCTTTCTGATAATCTCTGAACCGACTGGTGTCCAGGGTGATGTGTGGATCTGCATGGAGCTCATGGATACATCACTAGATAAATTCTACAAACAAGTTATTGATAAAGGCCAAACAATTCCAGAGGACATCTTAGGGAAAATAGCAGTTTCTGTGAGTACATCACGAACCCTACTACTAGGAGAATGTGAGAAGTCTAGGCCTTATGTGTCTTTTTACCTCTGGTGTAAAGAAACACTGCCTGGACCAAAACTACCATTCAATTCGTATCTGTTGAATGCATGAGTACCTTGGAGGATGGAGACACAAATGCTTTTCTTTCTAAGCCCTGTATGGAAGATTCCATCACCGACTTAGTTTGTTAAACTCTAAATTAAATGCCTCTAAGCAGTGCATTCATGTGCTATGACTGCATTCTTGGTGTCTATCTTCCGATATTAGTTTATTTCAACTTTCATTTGTAGATTTTTAAACATTTTCTGAAGACTAGGCAAAGAAGGAGGCAGAAGAAAAAGAAATAGAAAGAAGAGCTGCTACTTTAGTGGCAATTGAGGTTCAGGAAGGTGGAGAAAAAAAGAAATACTTGAGACTGAGTGGAAAACAAGATAGATTCATGAGGCATGCTCTTTCCTATAAGACACAGTCCTTTCTGGGAGGTGAATTCCAATTTATGTGACTTCTATGTATTTTTTTTTTTTGATTTGACCACCACTATTGAGTTAACACCTCACCCGGAGACCTTCAGCCAGGAATAATGAAGCTGGATACACTTCTTGACATTCAATTTCTCTCCAGTGATGGGTGAATGCATCTGTATTGTGTTTCTTTTGCAGATTGTAAAAGCCTTAGAGCATTTGCACAGTAAGCTCTCTGTCATTCATCGAGGTAAGCATCTGTGGACCTGCCTTGGCTGTTCCTTTTATAAGTTCATTTCTTTTACTTGGAGTCCCCCCACCCTGCCACTACCTGCCAGACTCATGGAGGTGAAATGGAGCCAGGCAAGAGAACTAAGGGGCTTTCCTTTGGGGTTGGTTAGCCAACCGTGTAAGTAGCTATTCTTTATCTTGACTGAGGACCCAAGAAGACATGGACTTTATATTACACCTAAATTGAATATAAAATACCTGTTAGAACAATTAATGATAATAACGAAGAGAAGAAAGTGGGAAGGAAGACAGGTAGGAAGAAGAATGTGTGTATACACAAATGTGAAACTGATTTTAAGGGTTTTATCTAAAAAGTCTGAAATATTTAATTTATATTAGAGAATACATATAAGGTATAAAAAGTAATAAAAAAATTTATATATCTTCCATTTAGTTCAAAACTAAGATTATAAAGGGTAATTTTGAAAGCTTTTAGAATAATTTTTTTTATGCTGATTTCATGTCCTTTGTGAAAAGTTTCAAAAAGGGAAAAAAATTAACTGTAATTTCTAATTCCATTATGCAGAGAAAACAATGCTTCATCTTTTGGGGTGCATGGGTGGGTGGGTTATACCTTTCTAGTGTGAAAGACTTATTTAAAATATGCTCAGTAATACCCCTTCTCTATGGCCTGCCTGGTGGTCTGGAATATCTGGATTTACAATGCGTTACTCGATATGACACATCTCTTGCAGAAGTTTCAATCAAAACTGGTTGCTTTGATCCTATTTGGTGTATCATTGTATTATAGTCTGTCTTTTCATTCCTGCATCTCTTCTACACTAAATATGCAATAGATCATTTTGAACTGGTCATTTGATTCAGTAATAATTTTTTAAGTTCTTCCTACATGTATGGGGGCATTGAAAATAATCAAATAGGCAGAAGAAACAGATCTTTCCTTTAATGGCTTCAAAGTCCTACAGGACACAGACAGAACATGAAATAGAAAATCAAGTTGAAAGCAATAAGCAGTAAGTAACTGTGAGTCAGGGATGACAGTTACTTTTGTGTTGGGCAACTCCAGGAAAGGAAAGTGAAAACTAGTGGGGATTTCAGGCCCTCTGGTGGTCGAGAGATCAATCCTCGTTCTTGCTTTCAGACGTCAAGCCTTCAAATGTGCTGATTAATACTCTGGGCCAAGTGAAGATGTGCGATTTTGGAATCAGTGGCTACCTGGTGGACTCTGTTGCTAAAACAATTGATGCTGGTTGCAAACCGTACATGGCTGTAAGTACAGCAGCTGGGGGGTAGCATCTGAGAACACAACTGCCAGCAACCGTGCCAGGAAATAGATGGATGGCCACAGAGGGAAAACTGAAATGGGCCTGAGACTCGAGAAATATTCTGTGTCATCTTTTTTCTTAAATGGTTCTTGTCTGAAATTCTTAGTCTTTTGCTTCATATATTGTCTGAGTCCATTCAGGCTGCTATAACAAAGTGCCATCCACTGGGTAGCTTGACAACAACAGAAATTTATTTCTCATAGTTTTGGAGGCTGGGAAGTCCAAGATCAAGGCACCATCAGATTCAGTGTCTGGTGAAGGCCCACCTTTTGGTTCTTGCTGTGTCCTTACATGGTAGATCCTTATGGGGCTTCTTTTATGAGGGCACTAATCCCACTCATGAAGGCTGTACACTCATGACCTAATCACCTCACAAAGGCCCCACCTTCTAATACCGTCACATTGGGGATTAGGTTTCAACATATGGATTTTGGGAGAACACAAACATTATACATTATTTAAAAAATCAAGTAAAAGAGATACATTATTTGAAATGAACCTATAAGCCATACATACAGCCTGCACAGCTTTCCAACACGGAGTTGCTGGTGAGTGTTCACCTCATATGTTGAGGACGGAATAGTAAGTAGAATTTAAATTACACAAACAAGGCAGTTAGATCAGTTAGGAGAGAACCTCACAGAGGTGAGAATTCATTGCCATTAGCAGAGACCTTGGGATCCCCTTTAACTAAAGGAACTTAGGTCGTATTCTGCTTGGAAACGAACTTGTGCTTGGAACTGAAAAGATTCCTGTCCATGCTTAGCTAAAAGTTGCTTAGGTCTGCTAACACCAGACTCTTGTTGATTTTTTTTTTTTGCTGAGTTCTGGACTCTTGGTGTTTTTTAACAAGGATCATTCTAGATAGGCAAAGTAGCTTTATAACCTATACCCCATTTCTTCTTAAGGTGAAATTGAAATCTGGTATGAAGAGACTTTGATCCATTGTTGTCTCCAAGAAAAGACTAACATAGAAGAAAGAAAATCCATGGAGATATTGATAGTTATTGTAGTTACTGGGAGGCATGTTAAGAGCTCAAAACACTCACTTGGCAGCTGGTGCTGCCCACACCCCCAGAGACTTTATTGAGCTAAGAATGTCATCTCAACTGTCTTTCCATTTCCTCAGTTGTCTCTCTCTTTTCCAGCCTGAAAGAATAAACCCAGAGCTCAACCAAAAGGGATACAGTGTGAAGTCTGATATTTGGAGTCTGGGCATCACAATGGTAGTGTATGATAATTATCAGTGACTATGAGGTCCTGGCCATGGAGCTGGAATGGGGTGGACTTTGGGACCAAGAAGGAAATGTCCTAAATGCTGGTCTTGGGCATCCTTTCCTGCCTGATGCAGCAGGAGGCTTTGAGTGACAATTGTTTGTAGTGTGATATAGTAGGAATTACTGAACTGGGATCGGACAGATCCATTTTTCTCTTTATTTTGCCTCTCACTAGTTGTCTGCCTTTGAGTAACTGACATTGTCACAGGGACTGCCATATTGTCCTCATCCATAAAATGAGAGGGTATGGCTATATTCCTTATAGTTTAAAATTAAATTATTCTAGTCAAGGCAAGAAGCTTAAGCTACACAGTGAGCACGGAGGTGTGTGGACCCTGATAGGGCTCTGTTATCCAGGACGTAGGTTATTTTTCCCGGGATATTTTTATCATAGAAGCCTTGGCTATTGAGGTCATGTATATCCTAAAGACATAATAACAAGTAGGATAATATCCTTAGGCACATCTCTAAAGTTATACCAGCAGTGCCTTATTCATAACTTTGGTGATCATAAATTTTCAGTGTGTCACCAGTGTCTGGAATTACCCACTGTGGTCCTGGCTCTTTCCCAGGCACGGCAGCTGATTAAGTCCTGTGAGTTATTTCATGTCTCTGCCCAGAAAACACATGATCCCGTAACTGCAAAGTGGCCTTTACTCAAGTCCAAAAATAGATCAGGCCCTAGCTTCCTTTTTTTTTTTTTTTTTTAAACCATTTCTCCAAGGGACCTGTAGATGGCAGCAGATGTATAGCTTTGTAAAGGTCTTAGGGTGAGAATTACTTCCCAGACCAAATGTTTCAAAACCTGGTTGCTTTACATCCTGAAGTTTAATACTGTTGGCTTACAATTTTTATGAAATGCTACCTTGGGTTTTAGGGAGGGACCCAGTTTTAAATAAATTTAAATGGCTGTCTCTAGTAAGATAATATTTGAAAATTGCTAGAGATTATTTATTGCCCCCCAAATTGTAGTTGATCTTTGCCTTTATATTTCACTTTGGTTCTCTGGGAACAAAATACAGACGATCCCCTATTATTTAAACCCTTGTCTCCTTGTTTTCTCTTCTCTCTAGATTGAGTTGGCCATTCTTCGGTTTCCCTATGATTCGTGGGGAACTCCCTTTCAGCAGCTCAAACAGGTGGTGGAGGAGCCATCACCACAACTCCCAGCAGACAAGTTCTCCGCAGAGTTTGTTGACTTTACCTCACAGTGGTAAGAGAACTTCATCTCCCAAGTGTCAGTGCCAAAGAAGATAAGTGTTCATGAATATCCTCCATCGAGTTTAATCCATCACACATACATTCATTCCAAAAGCATTTATGGAGTCTGCCCTCCATGCTGGAGAAACAAAAATGACTATATCACAATCCCTCCCCTCTCTGAACTCAAAGTCAGGTATGGGTGTCTCACAGATCAGTAACTGGAGTACAATGGGGCATGTCCTTGATGGAGGTATGTATAGGATTTGGGGAACTTGGAGGAAAGGCATCGGGATAGATTTTTCTGGAGGAGATAAATCCTGAGCTGAGACCATGAGAGGTATTTTCCAAGCAAAAGTGAATTAGAGGAGGAACGGTATTCCAGACAGAAGGAATATCACACATAGTGTCACAAAATCAAGGAACTCCTTTACCAGAACGATAAGCAATTTGATGTTGATTAGGGCATAAAGAGAAAAGTGGTAGCACCCACTAGAGGTCTAGGGATAGGGAGCAGATGCAAAGAATTACTTTGCATCAAAGACAAGATAGTGGGAACCTTGAGAGTATTACTTGGGTATCTAGAAGTCTTGCAGAACCTTGATTCCTACAGAACACTTGCTAACCGTGGAAATACTTGCCCATGAGGTTATAATGAACAACGTTGAGGGTCTGAAAAGGGAATCCAAAGAAAGTTGGAGTGGAAAGAGGGAAAGAGCCATACCAGTGCAGTAAACTTTTTGGTTTCATGGAAACTGCCAGTGCATTCAAGGCAAGTAAGAGAGGGGATAGTACTCTCCAGACAATTGAGTGGTTTCTGTGTGCATAGTGGTCATGATACCTAGCATCGCTTGCTAGAAATGACTATTGCAAGTGCTGCTGGGAAAAGGATGCCAAGAGGAAAGGGCAAAATGGAGCCAAGTTAGTTTCTTTGGGCATCCTGCAGAAGCAGACATGCATTGGGAGGAAGGGGATCAGAGATGGTGCTGAGCCCAGCTGTGACCCCCAGAGGGGAGCAATTCTGATCGCTCGTGCTAAAGAAGAGCCCAGAGCTCTGAAGGCTGTTGAGGTACAGAGGAAGCTGAAGTGCACCTTCCTTGTGGTATCAATTTTTGCTTCTGCACTCTCTGGAAGAAGGGTTCTGAACACAGCTTTTATTGGGAAACCTCGTGAGGTAAAGCCAGAGGCCGTTGCTGTGAAACTAAGGCCTCTTGGACTTTTTCTTAATTCCAGGCCCCCTCTCACTCCGGGTACTTTTCCCTAATGTCATATGAGACTAGCCTATGGTTTGTTTTTGTTTTTGGCTGAATGGCCGGAGAGGGGGTGGAGCACTGAGCTCTAGTACAATGTGTCATTGGTGCCTGCGCTACTGAGGTGTAGACAGGTGTCCTCCTGTCTGTTTTCCTTGAGTGCATGTGCTGGACGTGGTGGTCCAACAGCCAGGTGAAGGTGGGCTCATGATTCTGTCCTCTGGATTCAAGAACTTGGTTTTTATTGGTGTTGCTTTGTTTCTTTTTTCTTTTCTTTTTTTTTTTTTTTTTTCCCCCTATCCTCAAATGTTTAAAGGTCACATAGGAAAAGAGATGAGTCATCTCGGATAGTTCGGAGCAGTAGTTCTCAAGAGGGGTGGTAACGGGAAGGATCTTATCTGGGGAAGGATCTTATCTAGGGAAGTCTCTTCAGACTATCCTTCCTATTACCCCTCTCCCACCTGCCCCTTTTCCTGAGATTCTGGATACTTCAGGAAACTTTGGTAAGAATGAGGCTGGTGGGAAAAGCTGAGTCTCCCATTACGATCACCAGTTGAATCCAGTGGTTCTCAACTCTGGCTGCTCATTTATAAAATTAGCAAGTTTTCACAAGTACTATCCCCTTGGCCTCACCTTCAGAGATTCTGATTTAATTGGTCTGGGGAGGAGTCTGAATATCATTATTTTTCAAATATGCTCAAGTCATTCTAATGTACAGCTGGGGTGAGAACCCCAGGTTGAGATGGAAGATCTGTTGGCCTGCTATTAAATTGCTTCCTATTCAGAAGGCTTCTTACCCTCTAATTTTTGAAAAAAATTATTCAATTACTTTATTTTTTTTCACCAAAGTATTTTTTCTTAGAATTTTCCCCCAAAGAATCAGAACATTAAAGCTTTTTAACAGGTATTTAAAAAATGAAAACTCTCTAAGATAAATGTTTTCTAATTTTAAGGTGTGCACACATGGGTGGACATTCCAGATACCTGTATTATTGCTCCTTATATTGTCGCCACACTGTGTGTGCCTCCCCTCCCTGCACGATACCCACAGTGTCTCCCTGGCCATCCCTCTGAGATTTTCCTTTCGCTCTCTGTTTCTCTCAATTTTAGTCCCAGCTACCATAGTTCATTAATTCAAAAACTTTGAGCTGTAGACATGTTCCAGCTCCCTGGAACTATTAACTGTGTCAATACTGTTAACTCTGTGTCGTTTAATTTGCATTCAAGTAAGTCAATTTGTCTTGCTTATGAGTTTTACTAAAAATATTAATCATTGAAGCAAAACTCAAATCACTTCGACTTAGAAGTCATCCAATGATAAATTTTTCTTCAAATTTTTAGTATCACAGCTCTGGTAGAATCTGCTACTTGAGCATATCAATTGTGGGAAATAGTGAATCATTTTTATTGGTATAGAAATTGTGAAATAGAAGGAGAGCATTAATTCTGGATTTTATGGGCATTCTTACTTATCCTCAGTTGGACTTTTTAAAGAGTGCAGGCACTCCTGTGTCAGACTCCAGGTCAATAATTTTTTTGTTTTTTGGCCTGCCGTAAATTACCAATATATTTTTTTGATACCCCCTAAGAATAAACATTAATTTATTTTGAAGCCAACTGAGTTGAAAAAGTTGTCTCATGCTTCAAAAAATGATGCTGATTTTTTTTTTAGATCTTATGATTTGCTTAGATCTTTATGGAAACAATTTTATTATATGTGTATATATTAACGTATGGGCACATACTTCCATCCAATAGCAACCTGGTTATTTCACTTGTTTTATTACTGACAGTTTTAAGTTTGATTTGGAGCTGGATGGAAAGGGTGGAAAAGTGATTGTTACTGAAGAACACCTCTTCTATTTCTTGATGAAGAGAAGGATATAGCCTATGAACGTAACTCTCTTTTATCGGCTATGTCTCTGTTTTCCAACATATAGCACTGTACTATTGAGATACATCCTCATAAAAGGACCTTCATTTGAGTGATAATCAAGTTTTTGTATTCTTAAAACATAGTCAGAATTCTCAAAAAGCCCCAACTCTTTATGGTAAGTGGGGAAGGGGGACTACACATTTAGAAAGTGAAACATTTAATCTCAAATTTCAAGACAGGTACATCTATGTTTTTATCTCCTACATCTGCTTTGGGTTAAATGTAGAAAAAGGACACATTACTCACAGGCTAGGTAATCTGTCAGAGTATGAGGGTACTTCAAAAAGTTGGTGGAGAAATAGAATTGGAAGATAGTTCGAATCTTTCCATGAACTTTTTGAAGACCATTTATACTTATAACCTTTAGTGGGGTGCATCCTGCCTAAGCATTTGATATCACGTTGCTGCTGGGTGCTGTAACGCTGCATCCAGAGATCAATGTGGTAGCCACACTCCTCTGGCCCATCACTATTGATAGCTGCTTGTGTCATTTGACAATAAATCATGATTTGTGGAGTGGAGCAGAAAGCACTTAACAAGTTATCATCATCACACCCAAAGTCAGATCTATAGGCCATAGTTCCAGCGGCTGTATTTCTTTTGCAGTAACCTCAGAGAAATGTTTTCTTGAAGACGAGAAAGAAAATCAAGGCATTTTTCTCTTATGAACCTGAAGAAAAAAAAAACAACAATGATTTCTTACAAACCCTTCCTTTCTGTACATATTTTGAAATAGGACTACTGAATGATATTTTCTTCTTTTTTCCACACATCACTTTATTATCAAAGGGGTTTTAAAGAGTTCCTGGGTGGGTAGTACTAACTGTATGGGCCTTGTTTGTGAATTCATTATAGAGAAGTCTAACAGAAAAGCCTTACATTCTAGGCCTGCAGAAGGGTTAACAAATGAATTTGTCAAAAACATGGTATCTTAGCAGGATTAAACTTTGCAAGTTAACTTCTTCCTATGAGTTCACAGAAGGAAGTCACTGGAAGTCAACTGCTGAGTGCCAAAACAGCTAGGCTTCCTTCTTGCTCTTCCTCCAGGCCTATTGAAGAGTCTCAGTGACCAGCCTGCCAGCCTGATGGCACACTGGAGTGTGCTGCAGGTCCACACTGGAGTGTGCTGCAGACTAAAAATATTAATCATTGAAGCAAAACTCAAATCACTTCGGCTTA